CCAAATTCCCAATCTCTCAAATTCCCAATCTCTCAAATTCCCAATCTCCCAAATTCCCAATCTCTCAAATTCCCAATCTCTCAAATTCCCAATCTCCCAAATTCCCAATCTCTCAAATTCCCAATCTCTCAAATTCCCAATCTCCCAAATTCCCAATCTCTCAAATTCCCAATCTCTCAAATTCCCAATCTCCCAAATTCCCAATCTCTCAAATTCCCAATCTCTCAAATTCCCAATCTCCCAAATTCCCAATCTCTCAAATTCCCAATCTCCCCAATCCCAAAATCCCCCAATCCCAAAATCCCCCAATCCCAAAATCCCCCAATCCCAAAATCCCCCAATCCCAAAATCCCCCAATCCCAAAATCCCCCAATCCCAAAATCCCCCAATCCCAAAATCCCCCAATCCCAAAATCCCCCAATCCCAAAATCCCCCAATCCCAAAATCCCCCAATCCCAAAATCCCCCAATCCCAAAATCCCCCAATCCCAAAATCCCCCAATCCCAAAATCCCCCAATCCCAAAATCCCCCAATCCCAAAATCCCCCAATCCCAAAATCCCCCAATCCCAAAATCCCCCAATCCCAAAATCCCCCAATCCCAAAATCCCCCAATCCCAAAATCCCCCAATCCCAAAATCCCCCAATCCCAAAATCCCCCAATCCCAAAATCCCCCAATCCCAAAATCCCCCAATCCCAAAATCCCCCAATCCCAAAATCCCCCAATCCCAAAATCCCCCAATCCCAAAATCCCCCAATCCCAAAATCCCCCAATCCCAAAATCCCCCAATCCCAAAATCCCCCAATCCCAAAATCCCCCAATCCCAAAATCCCCCAATCCCAAAATCCCCCAATCCCAAAATCCCCCAATCCCAAAATCCCCCAATCCCAAAATCCCCCAATCCCAAAATCCCCCAATCCCAAAATCCCCCAATCCCAAAATCCCCCAATCCCAAAATCCCCCAATCCCAAAATCCCCCAATCCCAAAATCCCCCAATCCCAAAATCCCCCAATCCCAAAATCCCCCAATCCCAAAATCCCCCAATCCCAAAATCCCCCAATCCCAAAATCCCCCAATCCCAAAATCCCCCAATCCCAAAATCCCCCAATCCCAAAATCCCCCAATCCCAAAATCCCTAAATCTCCAAATTCCACACCTCACAAGTTAAAATTTCCTCCAAAAGTCCCAGTTACGTGAACGTCAAATTTGAATCGTCAGTATGATAGCTGATCCGATGTATCGCGACAAATGTTTCTAATTAATCGGTACGAAATTCGTGGAACATCTGTTCACGTACGTAAGAGCGATAAAACGAGTCTGTCTGTTATCCAGAACGTTTATAAGGAGAATGTTTGTGTTACGTAAGTAAAGGCAAACATGTAAATCGAGTAGTCGTTGTTTATGCAATCATATCATTCGGATAGTGCAAGGTGGTGTTCTAATCAAACATTACAAAAGTCTGGATAACATTTCGTGTGCCTGTTGCCTATGCGAGCGTATAAGATATCTTGATAACGCGTTATCGTAATTGTTCAAGATATACTGCTCAAACTTGTTAGTGGATCAAAATATTCGAATGAACTCGTTCAATATTAATATCTGATACTTTAAGAATTTTGCCAAGTTCTGTATAATATTATACAGAAATATTATATCAAAGTTTGAATGATCCCCTAATTCTTTTGATCAGTGTCAATTATTTTCATCCTTCCGATTCGACGTTGCAAACTTTATCAGCTTTGTTTCAAACTTTAGCTTTTATATTTCGAAAGTAATCACAACGAAATGAAACTATCGAGATATTGTAAGAGACTATTTTCATTGTAATCGAAGCTGTAGGTATCTTGAAACTTGTGGTAATTTATGCTTAATACGTTGATTGCTACGAATCGAATAATTTACAAAATTTGTTAATTAGAAATTTAGTTTCCTCTCTCTTAAATAGAAGTTATTAATGTACATTTCTTTCTCTGTTAAGGAAAGTGACGTGTCAACGTGTTAATAACCCAGATTATCGCACGCCGTGCTAGATACGGCTATTTCTACTGTGTCGGTCAACGCGCTGAACTTTCTACTTGCTCGCATAATTAATACCACTTGAAATTTCCCTCCATTACATTAAATTCATACCACTCGCAACAATCAACGTATTAACAAAATTGTCGACCTAAAGTGATCGATCCTCTTAACCTGTTAACTGTCCCGTTCAACCAGAACACAATCATCTAACTGAAAAATGATTGTGATCAAAATGAAAAGCAAACGAAGAGGAATTATTTCTATACCGGAAACTATTTTGTTTAATTTTGTGATACGATAGAAGATTTTATACGTCTTTTACTCGAACTCATCCACGGTTAACAGGTTAAATCCGACAGAAATGCATTCCATTGAAATCACTTTGATCGCGATGCTGCGAGGCAAGCATATTGTTAACAACAGACACGCGTTGGTCACGATTAACGTCCAAAATTATTTGTCCAGAGACATTCTTTGCGAGAGGTGTTCGATTAATGTAAGTCCGCGAAAAGCTATCTCTTGCGTGTTCGAGGATCAGAAACGTGCCCGATGCGACATTAGAGGTCGTTGACGAAGCTTACGGAGAGAAAAAGGGCAACTGGATCCGGCGTGCCGGATCAAAGGAGAGAGAAAGAGAGATCCCTTTTCTAAGGTGGACTGCTGAGTCCGTTGTTATCGACGAGAGAGACGCGCACAAGAGAACCGAGACGCTATTACGCGAAACAACTTCCTCCGCTTCCTGTTACGATCTTGTTTCACGCGTACTTCCGGCCGTTTCCCGGCGTGCTTTATGTTTTATTCGACGACGCAGGAGAGAGAAGAACGAGTGTAACCTTGCGTGTTGAGAAAGAACGCGAGAGTATCGAGAAATGGAGGAGAGAAAAAGATATGCCACACAAAACGAGAAAAAAAAATACGATGACGAAGATTGATGGACGATGTTCTCTTCTACCAGCGGAGAGGAAAGAGAACGAGTAAGATTTTATGGCGAACGACCTACGATATTGCATATACGATATACATTGTGTTTTCTTTTTTTCTTTTCTTTTCTTTTCTTTCTTTTTTTCTTTTCGATGATGATACGACGACGACTATTGCTTGACGATTATGAATACGACGACGATTTATGGAAACGACTTTATGCGAGAGCATGGCTGGAGTATGTATAAAATGTATTTTAAGCGTGGATAAAACAAAAAAAAGAATCAATTTACACTTACAATTTACAGTAACGAGTAACAATACTGATGTGGGTTGTGCATAAAAAAATAATAAAAAAAAATACAAAGGAAGAACGTATACACGTAACATTCGCGGCCCATGCCAATGGAGAATCGGACCGATACAGAATCGTGAATCGAGTCGCGCCCAAGCGCGCGAAATACGAATTTTCGTCCCGGTGAGGATACACACCCTCTTATCTGGCTGTTCTTTTTACTTTTATTTTACCACGGTCTGCGTGTACTTTATTCCTCTTCAATTCTCTTTACTTCTATTCTTTTTATTTGATTTCTATTTAAAAAAAATATTGCTGGGAAAATTATGTGTAGTTCACAGAATGTTCGAAATTATGAAATTTTTAAACGAATATTCAAATATACAAATTCTTTCATTTCTAAATTTGAGATATTTATATTCGACGAGCACTTAATCTCTAGTACATAATACAGTAAATAGAAACAGAATAGAAAGTAGCGACTTTTTAGATCAGTTTCAACGAGATGAAACAATGTATTTATCGATGTTTCTTGATCGAGAGAGAAATTGGTTGAAAGAAAGAGTGCACGCAGAGAGAAATAGAAGAGAAAGAACACGCAGGTGAATAAGGCGTTAGAGAATGAAACAGGAGTGCCAAATCATCCGTGACTTCCGTCCCACTTGGGCAATAAATAAATGCACAGCAAGTTGGCAAGAATGCAAATGTTTGCCATTTGTCCTCCAATAATTGTAAGGATTCTTAACCTGTCCGCTGTATCGAGTCTGTTGATTTTATTTTTGTTCGTGATCGTGCTGGAGAAATGGGTATTAGTAGCGAATGCGTTCAACATCCGTTATTTTCGCTAGAAGAAACTTGATTCCTCGTCGTGCATTAACGAATAACGACAATAGGGAACGAACGAGCATTTCAAACACCTGATGGGAAAAATAGAAAATTTATACATAAATAAAGTTGCGAGTCTATTTGGATGACACTTTTTGGGGGTCGGAAGATCGTTGCTCGTACGATCGATCCTGAGAAAAAGTAATTTCGACACTCGCTATTAGTGCCTATCGTTTCGTCGATAATCAGGATAATGGAGGCTGTTACCTCTGGTCCCGATTCGTCAAACGGACTAAAAAACGAACTCGTATCCGATTCTCCATACTTATGGACGCTTTTATTAAAGGGAAACGAAACAGACACACTGACATACAACAGAATCGGCCGTGATCAATTCTGGCAGCGGTTAAATTAAATGATATTTATTCGAACGATTTGCCAGGTTACGTTGCACACAGTATACACACGAAATAGTAGGTTCGAGCGGCAAAAAAATGAAAAACCATACAAAAAGAAAAAAAATCAATAATAACGGAAAGAGATCTATAGATTACGGATTAATGGATGAGTTACATAGTTATTTGAGAAGTTTCACGAAATATCGATGTATATATTTTAAGTTTGTATTATAATGCTCCCCATTTAATTTGTATGAAATGGAGAATTTCAAACATTAAAATGATGACAAAAATCTTCGCCTTCTTTTTTCGTTACACTCCTATCGACCTATCGTTCTAGCGATCTTAGTTTATAAATTTATTGAAAACGCACCTTTACACTGCATCGAATTTGTTTTCCAAGTTTTAATCGCTAATTAATTCTTTATGAACATAGCGTGATAAAAGAGATTAAAAATATCCTTGGTTAAATGTTGCATAGAACATATTACAGCATAAAGCAAATCACGAAAGAATTCTGCTGGATTCTTAAAGACCGTGTCCCATTTTTTGTAAGCGTCTTTTCAGCGATAGTATCCGATGAAACAACATCGTGTATTAAAAAGAGAACGGTCGATGCTCGTTCTTGTTCTTTCTCTTGGTCTTTTAACGCGCTACAGCTGACAACGGGCGGAAGACTGCGCAGTGCAGTATCACATGTCAATGTCCGCTGCGCATGTACTTACCGGTCAGAGAGACATGGCAGGTGTTTCGGTTACTTCTTATTGTTGACTATTTTTAATAGATAAAAAAGAGTTGCCTAGAAACCGTCTGAAGGACAATGATAACGTGTAATTTAGATAATAACTTGTGAAACTTATTTTAAGTAACCCAGTTTCGGGATCTTCCGTAAACCATGTCGAACCTACGAGAAGCAGAGGTAAGCAAATTATACGATTCGTATATCTATGTTTTAATATGAACGCTTTTTAATTAATGTTTACGTACTCTTCCGTTTTATATTGAGAGAACTTGTATTTAGGAACATAAAGAGAGAATTGTTGTAACAACTTTAATACATGTTAACAATTATTAACTTTAAAATAGTTAACGCTGACGAATTGTAAATGAACGATTCAATGTCGTTTGATATACTGTTATCATTATATTGAAGGTTCAAAGTCTCAAGGAGCGTGGAAATGCATGTGTGAAAGAGCAGAAATATGAAGAGGCTATGTTTCATTACACACATGCTATTAAACTCGATCCACAAAATTATTCTTTGTACAGTAATAGATCATTTGCTTTTTTAAAAATGCAACAATATCACTTTGCTATGGAAGATGCTCTAATGACAATTCAATTAAAGCCTGATTGGACCAAGGTACATACACGTTTGTTACGATGTTATATGTCAGTGAAACGAACCGAAGATATTGTTGTTAATATATGTATTTATATAGATAACGCTTAGATGAATAATGTTTAACTAAATTGCAGTGTATACGAATGTTTGTAGGGTTATTTTAGGAAGGCTGAGGTAGAATCACAAACTTTTCACTTTAGCGAAGCTCTTCATTCTTACAACAAAGCTTTAATGTTTCAACCAAATGAACCAACAATTTTAGAAGCAATGAATAGGGTATCCAGATTATTGATCCAAGATAAAAGAGGTATTATTCATGTAATATAAAAAATGTGATAAAAATCTTTATCAAATTTTGACGATGAACTATTTTATAGCTGATCAACAGATACCCTGGCTTGGAGCTGGTGTTGGTATCATACTTGGAGTAATAGTTGTAATTGCTGATTATGTTTTTACGAACAAACCTACATTAACGGTACATGTGCTTAGAACTTTACTTCTAAAAATAGATATTTAATCAAATTTTTATAATAATCATTGTACTTTTTTTTTTGATCGAATATAGCATCCTCTTTTGATGGTCTTGTTGACAATGTCCATAGCAATGCTAGGTTTTGGTATTGCGAAAGGATTTCGCTATTTTGTAAAATGTCAAAGAAAATCACTTTTAGAACCACCAGTGGATCTTTTTGGTAAAGATAAAGAAGAACTTGACGATGTTGAAGCTGAAATGAATAATGAAAAAGAAAAACATCCAAAATACAGTAAAGCGCAAGCGAGGCAAAGATTTAAGAAAGGAAAATCATAATGTTTTTTGATACTAATGACGTACATAAGTTTTTATGTAAATTTTATATTTTAAATCCATACACTTTTTAGCATCTCAGGAAAACTCGGAATATTTATGATTAATACTGTTACATTGGTAGAAAAATATATACATACTGTTGATTACATTTTAAACTTTAGTTATTATTATGAAAAAAAAGTTCAGAATATGTGTAAAAATTCTCCAATTCTTTTGTATTTTATATTGATATATTCATATCTAATAATATCTCTTGATTAATAATTTATTTATTACAAATATGATTGTACTTAAAATTTGTTGAAATATATCACAGAAGATAAGGCTGCAACGAAACTATAATTATTGGTAAGTTATGTGGTACAAATATTTTTAAATTTCAAAAATAAAAAGGATCACTGTTATATCAATTATATCTATATTCAAAGGTATAAGATGTTTCAGTTTCTAAAAAAAAGTAGCAAAAATTATACGGCATTTACACTTTTACACAATTACATTGTTGGATCAAATACTTTAAAAATTGTCCTTAGGTAGCCTATATAACAAATGTCTTGTTCTTCGAATCAAAATAAGAGAAATTATTTACACCTCTTAATCTCTTGCACTTCTTCAACACAATAATTATAAGTAAACTCTACCTAAACATAATCAATAAAATGCTTTCAATCTCTTGTCAAGTACCATAATAACCAATGACAAGACAAAATTTCTGAATATGTATACAATGAAGCATGTTATTTGAATTTCAAAGTTTATAATATATGTATATAGCACAATGTATGTACTATACATTATGCTTGAAACATGAATATATATGATTTAATACACAATGAAAAACTTTTACATTTTTGGAGTTCACTTCTGCTATGCTATATTTACCCTTCTTGCCATTTTGCTAGTTCAACAATTTAGTTAATTAACAATAAATTATTGTCATCATTGGATTATGTTACAATTGTTTTATAATTTTATTATTAATTAATTTTTAGCGTACCTATAAATTCACAATAGTTTTTCACGCGATTAAAAATTAAGATGTTATAAAAAATGTTTAAAAATAAAAATTTTCTTAACATACTCTTCACGAACATTTTTTGCTTAACCGTAGTATGTTACGTTCAGTGAGAGAAACATCGATATATTAAACTCATCCATTTATAACTCGTTATGCGACAACCATCATATCAATACCGAGGTAATTAAATTAGTATCCCAATGAGTGCACGATCGAATCTCTTCAAATCAGTTTCATCAATATTATTGTATACCCAATTAAAATATTACTACTTATGTAAATTTTCGAAACATTAATTTTATATATGTACATACATTCCACGTAAATTAATCCAATCAAACTTTTGTGAGTATTTGTAATATGAGCAAAAAAAAAACCAAATAGTTAATAAAATTTTGCATTTATGTACATTCATTAAATATTATAATCATACTCTGATACTTTCAAACAAGTCTATACAAGTTTAATCACGGCTCAACTTAATAATGACCTAACACAACCTCAATGTGACATAACTAGACTTAACCTTAGCCGATACTAAAATACCTTTAACCTTACACCGATCTAATCTAACCCTAGATTAACTTCCTGCCAATTTTACCTTATCTCGACCTATCCTAATCCCAAATATAATTATATGTCCATTAATGTACCTCAAACCAAACCTTACATTAACCTAACCTAACCCCGCCCTAAATATATTTCGACCTAACCTAACCCTATTGCCTCGGCATACTACACACGTGTCGCTTTTATCATACTACGAACGAGTGCTACTTGAGCTTGCTCAGACGTTAGTTAAGATTTCAAACAGATTGATATTCTGCACATAATATGATGGAACAAAATATAAAAAAGACAATATCCAGTTTAATAGAAAATATTAACGTCATGTTTTTTTCTCGAGCGTAATGGCAATGTGCCAGGTGTTCGACACTCGGTTATCTGTAGATCACGTTCAGTATAAATTCAAATGGACAAGCTGTTACTCCATAAATACATATTCTTTCGAGCTCTTTATGATAACATTATTTATAGCTTCGGTTAATTAACCAATAAAAAAGGGAACATACATAACGCTTCCATTAAACGTTATGTCCCAAACTAGTAGCACACGTCATCTTTTCGCTAACGCGTATTAGTTGTGTACATTTGTATGTGATTGTAAGAAGTAATCTAACGGCGCGATAGATCAGCGCAAGAAGGTTAACAGAATTGATCGAATCCTGTGTTACTTACAGAGCCTGTATATTTTTGTTAAAACATCATTTTGAAAATGAAACGGATATTCGTAGGATATTTAAAAAATCAATAGACATGTTCTAGAATTGTATTCTTTCATTTTTCTAGAATACGTAATCAGCTAGTTAACTTTTCGTAACGTACCGAGGACCACGTTGTTGACAAAATAAACGAACACAATCAGTGATACGTTTTTTTAGTCAAACTGAAAATAATCATTTCTGCTATATTTTTGGACATACATATTCAATCTCCTCTTTTCTGTCTCCATCTTATACGATCCTGGTGCGAGACTATTCAGAGTACTGTTTTATGCGCATGCGTTCATTGACGTTTACGTAGGTAAGCATTGTAAAACACATATGCTGGTCATTTCTCTCAAAGCCTTCGAATGGTTCGCATCTGTGCGTCTGAAGTCGATGCAAAGTGAAGATATTCGTTTAATTGATCATCAACGCAAATTAATTTTTTATTCCGTCGTTTGTTTCTCTCGTTTAACCGTATTATCGTAAAGTACAAAAATAAATATTAATCCATTATGACGCATTAAAATAACACGCATGTAAAATTAAACTATACATATGACTATAGTTAGCCGAGCTAATATATGATAGCACGTAACGGAGCAATACGAGTCCTGTTTCTTTTTAAATGCACAATAGATCGTTGCAAACATTTATAAGATTAGATAACACGTTGTTTAAGAATTAAATGCAAGAACGATTTGTAATCAGTTCCTATTACAAGCTAACGTAACTCATCGACATATGTTGTTTAAACAATGATCGTAACTGAAACGAAAATCAAGTGATAAATATTCTTTTCGATTCTTGCGAAACGTTTTTCGTGAAAAAATTGCACCGATTAAAGACGTCTTTGACTGCTACCCTAACCAATAAATAGAAAGTAATAATACGAAACACCAAATCATTATACAGCGAGAACCAGATTAAAAAAGAGAAAGGAAAACGGGGTAGTTGTACCACGGATACCTGGAGGAAAGCCTTATACATCGTAATGGAATGCCAGGTCCGTGGGTCCCGCACTTATTAGGGGTTAGGTCTTAGGTTGACGTACACGGACATATCCGTCGAGGCAACGATGTATTCGTCGATATGATTTTAATACATATATAACGAGTATGCAAATCCAACGACGTGTACGTGAAATTCGCAATCACAAAATGATGAAAATCCAGTAAGGAACATAAAACGTCGGAGAATAACACGAGAAAGCGAAAAGCGGGAAGCATGGCCAGGGTCCTCAATGCGATTAGTTAGCTCGTCTCTCCGTGCGTACGTGACACGCGCACGCGTAGTTACACGCTACAGGTTTGTATCTATGGGAAGTGAATTTAAGCGCCCTAATATTTCCAATATTCAGAATTTTACAATTCCATTTTGTTTAACAACTGTTTTGCATTTATTTCTCGAGTTGGAGTAATATTATTTATGAACGTAATAAACTTTACTTGCGTAACCAGGATCAAACTATTTGTTTAAAGTTCAACATAATTTAAAATTAAAATATCGATAATTTCTTGGGATAATTGCTTTTTAATGACAAATATTGCATTTCATGCTATTGGTTTTATAATTGATCTCACTACACGGTTCTTTACATTTAAATATTGTAACAACTCTTACACAGTTATGCGATTCTCATATTCCAAATACCATTCGTAGTTTTGAAACGTATGCAACAGTTCGTTGAATTTTATTAATTTCTAATGCTCCGGAAAAAAGATGAATCAATAAATTAATTTGATGAATGATGAATGATTCAACTTTTAAAAATTCAAAATTTCGGAAAGTTCTAAATCTTAAATTTTCAAACTTTTAATTCCTTAAATGATGAAATTTCTAAGATTTCGAACTTTGAAAAGCATCAACTTCCAAACTGCAAAATTTCTAAACTTCCAAAAGCCTAAATTTTCAAATTGCCAAATTCTGAAATTTGAAATATTTTCCGGAAACGAGTGATGGGAGGCTCCTTCCCCCACACTCAACCACGGTTTAGGGAAGGCTATGTTACACCGGCCTGTACAGTTCATATCAGTGAGTCACACCGTGATCTATGCATGCTAGAATAACGTGCACTCATAGTTGATCAGATATCACTTAATATCCGTATATCTCGCGTACTGAATTATCTGTCATATGTATAGTAATACGTATGCACATATATAAAAAAGCTGAACGATATTTGCTGCGAAGTTGCGAGCAGCTGTAAAGAACCGTTTAAACGCGGGAACACTAGATCCTTTTACATGAAGTTTGGCACAGCAAGTACACTAATAAGAAGGTTCAGAGACACTTTGAGGTGACCGTCCTCTAGGTGCGCACCCTCGATAAATACGTTCCTGCAAGCCGCACTACTTTTCTACGGTATCCCCACCAATGCCCAAGAGTGTGTACGGGTTGGTGAACAGTGATTGGTCAAGCTGGTGATTGGGAGCGTTGGTGGGGAGCGATCACGTCACGAAGTGAGGCCAAGAAGCGACGAGGCGCATGTATCAATGCGCAATCGCATCGGAACAGTTCAGGGAGTCGGGGAGGTCCGTGGCAAGGAATAAACAGAGTGAAGAGACCGCGCGAGAGACGAAGAGTGGGGAAAGCGAGCGAGAGAGAGAGAGAGCAAGAGAGACAGAGAACGAACAGGCAGTGAGACGATCACGATGCACGGAGGCGAGCACAAGCGGCCAGGGGCACAGGGCTGAGGGCTGAGGGCTCGACAGGGCCTGGAATAACGTTCACGGGACGGCCGCGGGCCAGCCAGCAGCAATGGAACAGACGAAAACTCCCGCGTCCCGGCTACTTAGCACGAGTTGCATAGAGAATAAGGACGACTTGGAAGAGGTAACATAAATATTTGAAATAGTCACTGGATACGTATCGGGTGCTAGGGGTTCCGCCATTGTTGCGATGGTCGCGCACGTCGCTATCCGCGCGGCGCCACACGTCGAACCACGCGTCTTAGCGGCAATATTCGAATCATTTGCATAATTGTGAAATTAATTTATGTCGGTTACCGATGATCACTGCTGGCTAATGTAACGATGATGATGTAGTAATGATTGCTACTATTCAACCTTACAACCTGACCATTAAACTGAACTGCTTTTACTTGCAGTACTAACCTGAATCTGTTAGACCTTGTTTATATCAAATATAAACTGTCAAATGATTTGTAGTTTTATACACTTTCCAAATTTAATCGGTGTACTGTCTGTAAGAGTAGATGCTTTCCAGCTGTTACATGACATTAAAGACGTTTGTTTCTTTTGCAGAAATTTGAAAGATGTTATACAGTGCTTCAAAACCTGACTGCAGGACTGTCAGAAAAAGAAGCTCATGATACTCTGAACAATGCTGTGTGTAAGGATAAGACACACGAAGAAGTTTCGTTGGGGTTGTTAGTGGTCATTCTGATAGATCCCCAAAGTGCTGCGAAAAGTTATAGAGACTTGACATTAATTACGCGAGACGGTCTTGCTATTGTATTAGGACATCTTAATCAACTAGTACTTGAAAGATACCTGCGACTGAATGATGTGACCAGAAGTCAGCTGTTATGGCTGTTAAGGGAGATGATAAGAACCAGTGTAGCTGGTGTGGATAATCTTTGTTTAAGTTTGTTAAGGCATGCAGCAGGTGGAGATATTTCGCCAAGAAATTTATTTTTAGTCGATGCACTTTTAGATATTTTTCAAGAGAATAGGCCTTGGTTGGATAAGTTTCCTTTTTTAGTAGCATCTATTGTTTACACTTATTTGCGATTAATAGAAGATCATAATGCACCTCATTTATCTGGTTTACGTCAGAAAGAAGTTACCTTTACTGTATCTCTGATAAGAGAACGCATGGTTGATTGCTTAGTTATTGGAAGGTAAATAACTTGAAATCTTTTTATTTGATATTTGTTGGGAAGTAAAAAAGAGTTAAGCAAATCAAATATTGTTTTTGATTCTAGGGATTTGGTACGCTTACTACAAAATGTGGCACGGATACCAGAATTTGAAGCACTTTGGAAAGACATGCTTCTTAATCCAAAATCACTGTGCCCAAATTTTAATGGAGTTCTTCAGCTTTTACAAACTAGGACATCTAGGAGGTTTCTACAATCTAGACTTACTCCTGATATGGAAAGAAAGTTGGTGTTCTTAACAAGTCAAGTGCGTTTTGGTAATCACAAAAGATACCAAGATTGGTTTCAAAGGCAGTACCTAGCCACTCCAGAATCCCAATCATTAAGATGTGATCTTATACGTTTTATCGTCGGTGTTATTCACCCAACAAATGAGTTGTTGTGTTCAGATATTATACCACGATGGGCAGTAATAGGATGGTTATTTACCACCTGCACATCAACTGTAGCCGCTAGTAACGCTAAATTGGCATTATTTTACGATTGGTTATTTTTTGAACCCGAAAAAGATAATATAATGAACATTGAACCGGCAATTCTCGTGATGCACAATTCTATGAGGTCTCATCCACCTGTCACTGCCACACTGCTAGACTTTTTATGTAGGGTAAGTGAGATACACTGACTTTCAAAATTGATAGACTGACTAAGCGAAATTTTATAATGTACGTTCTTTCAATAGATAATACCAAACTTCTACCCACCTTTAACCGAAAAAGTGAGGAATGGAATCTTTTCATCATTAAGACAAATTTTGGAGAAAAGGGTCTTGCCAAGTCTTTATCCACTATTTGATAGTCCCAAGTTAGATCGTGAATTAAGGAGTAAGATAAGGGAAACGTTTAAGGAATTCTGTTTACCACCTAATGCAGATCCTGGTAAAGTTCCTACAGACTGTTGCATGCTTATTTTATCATTCACAATTCTAAAATAGTGCACTGGAAGTAGCTTACTGCACAAAAGATTCATTAAATCTATTAAACAAATATCGAAACTGGTATTGTGTCTAATATTCTATACACATTTCAACAATGTTTCACAAATGCACATGAAGTACAAATGTAAATAATACCTTCTGTACATATTAAATAGAAAGAAATAATACGGAGCTCTATTTATTGCATATTAATTTGGGGTTTATATATAAGGATGTTAACATTGTTTTTGAACATAGTTGGAAATTTATCTTCTACATTTCTTTTTAACAGATTTTATTATTCACCCTTTTTTCATGCTTACAGCACGTTCAATGCTTACTAACTTTGGTTTTTGCATGATGTTTTTAAGCAGGAAATAAGGTTCCTGTATATTCAGGTAAAATGGAAGAACTTAATAAGGATCTTACACCAGGAGCCACACTGGATAATACAACAAGTGCACCAGTAGAGAACAATCATATAAATCAAGACCCGGAACCGGCATTCAGCGACGAAGAAGAAGAGATGCCATTAAGGTCAGTTTTTAATCTAAAATGTAATATACGAGTTAGTGTTGTACGAAAAACAAACATCTGTTCTACAGGATAGTGACCAAAGTGGAAGAAGAGGACGAAGAAGATGTCCCGCTAGCGAATGTGAAGTTGAAGAATGAACAGAAAAATGCAAACTGTGTTGTGAAAAAAGAAGATATTACATCTCAGTTAAATTTAATTTTAGAACCAGAAGAGTTAAGGACTGCTGTGGAAAGTTTGCACAGTGAAACAGACAATGAAGTGAGGTGTCAAACAATGGAAAGGATAGTACAAATGGTGGTAGAAGATGAGATAGACGCGGAAACTATACCAGGATTGGCTTCTTGCATATCAACTATCTTATCCTCACAAATTACCTCCCAAATATTTCCAACGGATAATTTGAATGAAGAAGCCTTGACTGATAGTATAAGCACACCGTTGTTTGTTATGTTTCGAAATCAGTTTCAGTTATGCAAAGAAGAGGACAATAGGCGGAAGCTTTTAGCTCGGGTATTAGCAGAGATGCAGAACGTCCAGTCAAGGATAGGTTATCTTTTACTTTACTTTCTGAAAGTATGGGGAAGGGAAGAAGAAAAACGGGAAGGTGAACCAAGGTTCGTAATGAGATGTTAATTGTATGAGTACAGAAGGACTTGATCATCTAATTTTTTATTTTATTTCAGCAACGTATTGAACGATGTTAAAGCGTCAGTTTACAAAGACTTCTGTGCGCACCGGGAAAAGAAGTTAGATGCGTGCTTGGTATCTGATTTAAAGGTGAATACAATGTTTCAAGTAAAAAACTAGTTATAAATGAATTATTCGAGTTCCATTGAACATAATTATTCTTTACACGTAATTACTCTTACAGCTGTGCCACGAGGACAACATATTCATGCTTTGTTATCTTGTGCCTGATGTATACATGGGATTTCAAAATGTGACTTTAGGGAATATTCAGTTATTGCATTTGGTAGTGTCGACCGTTGATGCATGTCAATTACAAGAATTAGTCTGTCAAATAATGCAAGGACATTTAAAAATGTTAAAGAAGGAATCCTTTACGTCATTGTTAACAGCGAGTTTAAATTGGGAAACCTTCGAACAATACTGTTTTTGGCAACTTATTTTTGCCCACGATTTTCCAATCGATTATGTACTGCCTGTTTTACCTAAACTTCAGTTTCGTGATCATGCAGAAGCATTAACATCGATATTGCTTATGCTGAAACAAGAAAAGTAAGTGAATCATTAATCGAATATATATCCTAGTGAAAATTAGGAGCCTAATATTAATGTCAACGATCTTTAACAGGCCAACATTAGAACTTCTACGACAATTGCTTGCACGACAAAACGTAGATGGAGACATGTTCGTCGTAGCGGCATTACGTTACTGGTGTCGTGATTACGAAGAAAAACTTGGGGAATTGCTCGCGAATTTGTTGAGCACTCGTTATCCAGCAACTAGTCCAAATAAAAGAAAACGATCGGCTGGTAAACACAATCAGCAGCCTGGTCCACCTACGGGTGAGCAGGTTCTTGGGCATTTGGATCAATTACGGCAACATTGTACGTCGTCCGCTGAATTACAGCTGTACCATTCCGAGGGAATGCAAAGAGCTCTACAACAAGCACAAGCGGCTAGCAGCGATTCCTTAAGAAAAAGTTATGGAGATTTATTCGCTTTAGCCGAAGTTAACGAGGAAAATGAACCTCCCCCACCTCCGCCAACGAGTTCAGCACGGAAACATGCGGCAGCATCGACTGGGGCTGGTGGAGGTGCTGGCGGTAAAGGAGGTCATAGAAAAACTGGTGCTAACACGAGAGAAAGATCTAGTTCTAAAAGGCCACCTCCTCGGTATCATCTTAACAGTACATCCAGTAGCGAGGTAAGTGTGAGTTTGAAAGTAGTTTGCATCAGTTAAACAAAAATTTGAGATGTAAATGTGACATTTTATGTGACAGGAGGAGGAAATCGTGAATTTGAAACCAGCAAAAAAAAGAAAAAAAATTAATCCAGTGGGTTCTGACAGCGACTGACCACCCAGTGTCTTCAAATGTCACATGGACCACGTCACGTGTGTGCAGCAAGCTAAACTAGCCCTAAGAATAGTAAGATAATATAGTATATATAATAGATCTCTATTTAGCGCGACTTGTAAATATAGTGTATGTCGAAAGTGAATGCGAAACAAAATACCGATCACGAGATCATGCACATATTTCGCAGGCACAGTACATTAACAATGTTGTCAGATTCTCTATTTCCATTAATTCCATTATTTGTGTCAAATACATTCTAACGAAGGAAGAATAATATATCTAGAATATATGTGATACTTAACGCGAGGGAAAATTTATAAATACTGGTTATAGCTTTTCTAGGTAAATACATGTGACAGATCAACTTGTCATGGCACGTCGATACTCTGATTTTTATTTAAAGGAGTAAAGAGGATTTGTATCATTTATCTGTCAGATAAAGTTACCGAGAGGCAAAACTAGTCATAAATTAAATTATATTTTGATATACTCTTAAATATACGTGAGCATGGATTTAAGAGTAGAAAATTGAATCTGGCAATATTGTAACGAGGGATAAAGTGACACGAAACTTTTCTCTGTGATCACTTTGTTTCTAAGAAAGAGAAAAAAATATCCATTATCCATTATTCAACTTCGTGGTTGACCTCAAAGAATACGGACACGATTGTGTTTAGTTTTATTCGTAATTTGTTTATTAATTTTGTGACTAGTATATTTGACCCTACTGTCCAAATTTCATTCGTTTCTTCTTTTTTCATTATGCGATAATAATCGATAAGGACTCGCGTCTCACAAACACAATCAATGAGGGGGGGAAATGGTTACTTTTGTTGCCATAAACTGTGAACGCAATTTGTACGGAATCGTTAATAGCTTTTTATTAGGATTAAGGACCTTCTGCGGGAGAACAAGGATGTATCAATAATATCTCGCTCCAGCACGAAGCGTACAGTTTTACGACCAAATGTATTTTACGTCTGCGCTTAGTAAGCATAATCATTCTAAAGACGCAAAAAATTTTTATATTTTGCACGATGGAAGGTTGTCTGTTTTTTCTAGAACGGTGAGAATTTTCACTCGTTACAAGTATTTTACACGAGCACTCGTGATGATCAATTTTTATTCTAATCGTAATATTTACGATATATTTGTATTTAGGGAAATAATACGTCTTTAATAATTATGGGAGCGTAACGTATACACCAAATCAATTTATAATTCGCGACAGTATTTTATTTAAACAATGTTGTTAACGCCATTGGCGTAACTAGGTAGGGAATCAGGGTGGGCCTGCAAAATCTTAAACTTAATTTTCCAAAAGATTTCCAACCTCACAATTCCTATAACCAAATTTCCAACCTCACAATTCCAAATTTCTAAATATCCAAATTTTAAAATCCTCAGTTGTCGAATTCCTAATTTTCCAAAAACCAGTGAACAAGTATCGGCCTACCCCAGGCAAAAATCCTAATTACGTAAATGAGCATCGCGTTGTTCCTGATGATGCAATATGTTGACTCAATGATGATAAAGAAAGACATACCTTCCAACGAGCATAGAACCAGGCGTCATGTACACTTAAGTCCTAGCGAATGTAAGTATGAAGTATCATTGTTCACCTCTGTACATTTCCTGTAAAATCGGTTACTTGTAAACATATTATAAGTAGCTGCGTTATGTATTTTCTAGTTTGTACATACCAGAAAGAGAGGGAGAGAGTGAGAGAGAGCGATCGAATAACGTGTGTATCGTATGCATGTGTATAAAACTACCTACAACGTGCGCGAACAAATCTTTTTGAAAATTCTTAGTACCATTTTTTTTCCGTAAATAGAGTTTGTAATTTTGCACGAATCGAAAGGTTATGCGAACAATTATTGTATCACACAAATCGAGGATAGAAAAAGGGTTAATAGAATGGCGTCTCGAACGACGAACGTATTTTTTTTTTATTTTAAAGTTACGCGCATAGTGTACGTACGTACCAGCCATTTGTAATGGTGTATAATAAGGTGTGATAGTCGATATTGTTATTAGGTTTTTCTACTTGTACATAAACTTGCGGCGTTATGCGAGAATAATTTAAAAACGACGATGATTTATCGCGAGAGGATAATATACGACATGTATGAGATTGTGCGAGAGACGGACAAACGGACGCGGATGAGGAACATAAACGCGAAATTAACGATGCGCGGGGCAATACGAAAACAAAATAAAAAAAATATAGACCTGTAAACATTTAATGTTTTTAACGATCTTGTACACACGAATACACATGTAAATACATGAATATATATATACATATACACATGTATGTATATATATATTATCGTAACGCGAGCATAAACATTTAATGTTTTTAACGATCTTGTACACACAGATACACGTAAATGTAAATACATCGAAAAAAAATTACCGGAAGTAAACCTGTGATTCCTATTTGTTTCCTATTTCTTTGTATTTTCCCATTTTGTGTCTTTTTATAGGAGCAGAGACAAATCAGTTCGGAGGAGAAATGGGAAGAGTTCAACGATCGAGATTACACTCGTAAGCTTGTGTAGGGAAAATGGCGGTGTGGAGAAAAGGGGTCCCACCGTTTAATGATTTTTGGTTACCAAATTTAAAATTTTAGCAATTTTGGCATTACTAAAAGAGCGAAACTTGATGGCAGCGACCACATAGATGCAAGGAAACCGATTACTTACCCCAAAATTCTTTTGGCTGAAAAAAAAACATCGAAACATTCGGGTGATTGCGATCTTCAATGTAAAAGACCATCCACTTTTAATAGGTATATTTAAAATTAATGGTCACGGCCAATCTCGGCGTTTAGACAATACACAACACTGCTCCCACGGTACAGGTCTCGCGTTTACTTTCCTTTCTCAGGTAGAAACAGCGGAGTCGTCATTTTGTTTAATACCTTTGTCTTTTCTTTTTTTTAAACGAATATAATATCTCGTGAATTTGTTTCCGTCGCTGCTTCAACAATCGGTGCGCGAACATTTAAACGGTCGAACCCTTTCGCGACTGTAGCGTTCGAACGAAATCCCAAAGAACAATTTATACGAGATTCAACGGTTCGATGTACGTTTTCATTTCCATTGGTGTCAATATAACGTGTAATATATTGCATCGGTGACTGATCAAAACGACTACAGCCGTTTTCGAATTATCTTAGCGTGCATGTGTTCAAGAATGACCTATGCGGGTGCGTACAGACTTTAGGCTAAACGAGCGAATGCTCATTCTTCTTTCAATTAGGCAAAATTCAAGCGTAAATTAGCATTCTCTCGCTGCTAGGCCGATTGTGCGATGCTCGTTTGCCGGATGCGATTTAACTAGATCCAAACCCGTTACGATTCATCGTCGTTCTACTCAACGCGGTCGAAACTGAAATAATTCAAGTCGAAACGATCCAATTCAACGTAATTCAATTTTACACGATTTAATTTGACGCGATTCGACTCGGCACATTTCTACGCAACACGACCCAACTCGACGTAATTCTACTTGACACAACTAAATACGACACGATTCAATTCGATGCGTTTCGATTCACCGTACCGAGCATTCGAACACTCGCAATTAGTCTAAACTCTACGAACATTCGCTCGCGCGTTCGATTACCTGGTGTGACCGAACAATTAGCTTCGTGTTACGCGATCCGAGCACGAACGAATGCTCTTTCGGGTTCTTGCTCAGTCTGCAAACGCACCCTAACAAAGCCGCTTGATCGTCTGAAAAGGGTTCGGTGGTACACAGTTAAGTATGCAAGTTATTACGATCGTCGGCAACACGCTCTAGAAGGACAATGATTGCAAAAATTGTAAAACATTCGAGGAAAATTTGTCAGTAACGAGAATGTAAATTTCGTAGAACATGCTCCGAACCCCCCTCGGTGTTCTTCGTGCTATCTGTCCTATATGTCTCAGGCATGTTGACTCTATAATTAGGTACTTATACGAAAACCGTATCTAGCATCACCATTTGCAAGGCTCTCTCCCGTTCACTTAACGCGCATGCAAAATCGCTTGGTAACGTCCCGTTAACACGTTCCTCGTTGTACACACGCGACAAAGAAAGTGTTCCTTTACGTAAATCACACCGTTGTAGGTACAAGTCGGGCCACGCACACGTAATTCCTAAATATACATACAGTTTCATCTCTGACACACACATCGGGGTAATTTTTTTTTCTTCTCCTCTGTTTCATCTGGTTTTCACTTTTCAACGGAATTCTACCGTAATACACGTTCGTATGTATATGTACACATTGCGGTAACAGTCTAGGTTCCTAAGGCTGCTAAAAGTCTCACTTGTAAGATCTCGCTCACAGGGAAACGGGCGAGATTCGTATTTTAAAGAGTTCGGGTTTCGACGAAGGGAGAAAACGTGAAACGTCTTTTCTTTAACGTGTAAATCTAGTAAATCACTTCGTATACAGTGGCTTTCTTGTCGCCGGATCCGGTCACGATGTACTTGTCGTCGGCGGATATGTCGCAGCTCAACACCGACGAGGACTCCTTCGACTGAAAAGATAACACCGTTAGTTGCACGTTTCTACTCGGTTAGGTTTACCATCTGCAAATTTCACTTGAAAAAGGTCACCTGGAATATCGAGGCTCCGTACGGCGTACGCCATGCGTTCAACAGATTGTCCTTGCCAGTGGAGACGAACCATTTTCCACACGACGCGAAGCGCAGCGATAAGACGCAGGATTCGTGCAGGTGTAATTGATATTTATCGGACTTGGTCGCGTGCAGGACTTCGACGTTCGAGTTTTCCATTCCAACGGCGAGCCATTCTCCGGTGGGACAATATCCCAACGAAAATATTTGCGAAGTGAAGTCGTGCTGTTGCAACTGTCTGCCTTCCCTCAGATCCCAAGAACGCACGGTATTATCGAGCCCTCCTGTCCACAACTTCGATCCGTCCGCCGAGATATCGATACAGGAGGCTCCGTCCGTGTGCCCTTGGAACTGCCGAACCAAAATCTCGTTCTGGAGATCCCACACGGCGATGTTACCGTCGCTGCAACAACTGAAGCAGACTTTCGAATCCGGCGATATAGCCAGCGCGTAACACGCAGGGGCGGACGATGTTAATTCGGCTTTGATCCTTGGCGTTGGACTGGCCAAGTCCCAGATTATCAATTGACTCGCTTCTCCTCCGACGATCAAGGTTCTACAGTCTGGTAGCAGCTTCACCGATCTGCGACAAAATCAATCATCTTCTATACAAAACATGAAAGTCACAATCTTCTTTGGTTAAATCAAAGTTTAGTTCAATTTTGAAGTTTGGTTAAATTTGAAGTCTGGTTTGATTAGCTAAATCTGTATTTGAGCATGGTGCAAATGCAGAATATGTTCAATGTGTATCATAAAATGCAAACAACAGAAATGTGGGATCTTAATTGAAGAATAGGTGGCGAACACGTCTAGCGAATATAGTGTCGGTATCGTTCGAGGAGTAAATTCTATTCTTGACGTAAATCCATGGTGATAGACGAAACGTTAGGGGCATTAAAAGACGGACAAGCTCGAAACGTGCACGTACGGGAAACTCACCTAATATAATTGTCACGTTGCAGGCAATCCAGCTGCGATACGTGCTTGATACTGCCACCACCTCCGTGCCCGATGTCCCAGACTTTAACGCACCCTTTGCCGCCGGTGTAGACGTACTTGGTCGGATTCGAGATCGTAACAGCGCATACAACTTCGCCGTGAGTCAAGGTATTAATCTGACGCGCGTGACGTGGAATTCCTGGTCCTATCAGAGCGTCCGTGGGGAATGGCACAGGCTGCAGTTGACCCTCGCCGTTCATATGGAACGAGTACGCTCTGGAACAAGTACGTAAAACGTTAATGGCTTTGTCCTTACGTAATGGAACGCCTTCGATTACTTAAAAGCTCCTCATCCGATAAATGAACGAACTGAAATATAATCCGGAGCTTTTCGTATACGTATCGCGCTATGGAACTGCTTTGATTTATAAAAAAATATTCGAAATGTTATGAAATCTGTTGCGACACGATTGAGAAATTCTAGGAGGCAATTTTGTTATAAATTAATTGTGCAATATTAATGTTTGTAACTGGAAATACATACGGTTTGCCACCCGGAATATTGCTTAGACCGTTGCTCGATGGTATCCTTACATGACCGTCGAAACCGAGCTGAAAACGTAAACGAGACAGTTAATTTACTGTGAAAGTTACAAATTCTGATATCGTTAAAATACAATCAGGAGCCAATCTGGCTTCTCTAGGAAAAAGGTGGTAACCAAGGTACTTAAGACTTGGTTGCGAATTCACAACGACTCTTCTATTGTTCTATTGTGATTTGGAGACTTCCAGGTAGTTGACGCATAATGAAGGGGTAGAATGCAGATGCAGTAAAACGTAGATTTTCAACAAAAATGTTTTTGTCGCCAGAGCAAAAACATTGCCAGATTAATCAACGTTCAACAGGTTCACCAGATAGTAATTCGTAAAAAATATTCATTTGTACCTTACAACGAGCGAATGCTCGTATCGTTCAAAAGATAACACATGTGACAATTCGAGACATGAATGTGTCGTAAAATTCTTGTCTTAAAAATTTCAATTCCAATTTGTCAAAAATTTCCCTGATCGAAAGGGTAAAAGTGTGAAGTCTTAAATCGTGAAAAGGTGAGAAAAGCGATGAACGTCGAAATACCATCGAAGTCCTGGCGTATGGTAAATTGCTGTACGGCGAAGGCGATTGTGGCGGCTCATTGCCGCGGGACGGCAAACCCTGATAACCCTGTGGTGGTGTTTGCTGCGACGATGGCGGATGATAAACTCGCGATGCCAAGGGCCCAGGGATTCCGCCCATAGTTGGGGTACAACTGCGCGACCCCCTCGCCGCCGCCACAGGTGTACCCGGCTTGTCGATCTGCGAAAGAGGTTCGGTTCCATCGCTCCGGTTTATTATGGTGTGCAATCAAAGAATGGAATTGTAAATTTCACGCTTGACTTTCGCACAAAAAGCAACGAGACACATCGATCCTTGTCGCGGCC